GGTCAGACACGGCCCCTGCTCGGCGATGAACATTACGCCGCCTCCGCCGTACGCCGCCTCCTCTTCTGCCGACAGCCGGTTCTCCGCCTCGTCCGGCACCGACAGACGGGACATCGTGTCCGCCAGCCTCATGTCCTCCGTCCGGCGCAGCTCGATCTTGTACTGATACGCCGCGAGCTGCAGCGCATACCTTTGCATGCGAGCCGCCGCCAGAGATGGCAGCTCACGGTCCGGGTTTAGGATCCTGGAGAGCGTCCTGTTGTCGACCACCAGGGTGAACGGCCGACCAAACAGGAACTGGTGGAACCGCCGCACTCCGAACGAGACGGCTGCGGCTTCCCTCTCCACTTGGGCGTACTTCCTCTCCGTCGGAGTGAGCGTTCGGGAGGCGTACTGTACCGGCCTCTCGAGCCCCTCGGGCGTCACTTGCATCAGAGCCGCTCCGACTCCTGTCGCACTGGCGTCCGTGACGAGCCGCAGCGGCAGCACGGGGTCGTACCGCATCAGGACCGGCGCCGTGGACAGCATGTCCTTCACACGGCGCACTGCCGCGGCGCACTCCGCCGTCCATGCCCATTTGACGCCCGTCTTCAGTAGCGCGTAGAGCGGCGCTAGCACGGTAGACAGGTTGGGCAGCAGCCGCTGATAATAGCTGACTGACCCGATCAGAGATCGCAGCTCCTGCACGTTCCGAGGGTCAGGTGCTGCTGTGACGGCCGCCGTCTTCTCTTGCACCGGGCGCAGACCCGCCTCAGACAGTCGCCAACCGAGATACACCACTTCTCGGACTCCGAACTGGCACTTCTCTTTCTTGAGGCGGACGCCGTTGTCCTTCAGCCGCTCCAGCACCCGGTCCAGCCTGTCCATCAGCTCACGGTCACTGTCGGCGCCGATCAGCACGTCGTCCAGGTAACAGACGACTCCTGGAAGACCATCCAGCACCTGGTCCATGATCGCCTGGAACTGCGCTCCACAGGTGCTGATCCCGTACGGGAGACGGTTCATCCGCATCGCACCACTGTGTGTGGTCACGGTGGTCATCTCTCGGCTCTCTTCGTCCAGCTCACACTGGAGATAGGCGTTCCTGCAGTCCAGCTTGCAGAACTTTTTCCCTCGTATGCTGGCGAATAGCTCCTCCGGCGTGCGCATCGGATACTTCAGAGGCTGCAGCTGCGGGTTCACCGTGATCCGATAGTCCGCGCACAGCCGCACGCCGTCCTTCTTGGGGATGGGTACGAGCGGCGTACCCCATCCGGAGAAGTGTCCAGGAGGCACCTTCTCGGCGATCCCTTGATCCAGCCACTTGTCGAGCTCCCGCTCGATATCTTGCTGTAGCGCAAACGGCACCGGTCTGGCGCGTCGATAGACCGGTTTGGCGCCTTCCTTCAGTCTGAGCGCCACCTTCACCGGGATTCTGCCCAGTTCTTCTTTGAACACCTCACGGTGTTTGTCCATCACCTCCTTCAGCGTCGGCTGAGTCGCCACCGGGCACACGTTCAGCGTCTCCAGACCCGACGCCGTCCTCAGCGCCTTGATCCACTCTCGTCCCATGAGAGGTCGGTGAGAGCCCATGTCGGACACGACGAGTCGCAGCCGTGTCGCTCGGCCGTCCGTCTCCACGTTGACGTCGGCCTCGCCTCGCAGACGGATTTGCTGGCCGGTGAATGACGTGAGGTGCAGCTCACTCGGCCGCAGCGTCAGACCGGGGATGTGAGTCTCCGCGCTGATTATAGTCACCGGTGAGCCAGTGTCGATCAGCATGGTGAACTCCTGGCCGTTCACCCTGACCGTCGCCCACTCAGCTGCGGCTGGCTGCACGGCGCTGACTTGCCAGTCAGCCTGGTCGCCGTCCTGAACCAGCTTCACGCCAGTTCGCTGTTTGCCGCAGTCACGCTGCAGATGCCCACGCTCTCCGCACCGATAGCAGCGCGGCGCGCCGGCCCGCCATGGCCGCGCGCCGGCCTGCCGCGGCTGCCCGCTGTCCTGCCGTGGCTGCCCGCTGTCCTGCCGCGGCTGCGCACCGTCCTGCCGGGGCCGCGCGCCGGCCTGCCGCGACTGCGCGCTGGGACAGTGGCGCCGCCAGTGGCCCCGGCCGCCACAGCGGAAGCACGTGCCTGGCCCCGGGGGCTCGGTCGGCCTGACCCTCTCCGTCCGCTGCGGGCGTCGCACCAGGTGAACTGCCTCCCCGTCCGTCTCGGCCGGCGCCGGCGCCCCTGACAGCCGCGTCGTCAGATCCATCACGTCCCTGTGCGCCCGTGCCGTCCGCCGGACGTCCTCCAGAGAGAGGTCGTCACCCTTTAGCGCCGCCTCCCGGACCAGCTTCCTCTGTAGCTCACCTCGGCTGCCCAGGACGCATCGGTCTCTCAACTCACGGTCCACCTGCGCCGGCTCGTAGCCGCAGCGCAGGATTTGCGTCCGTAGTCTGCCCAGGAACTCCTCCAGACTCTCTTCCTGCTCCATTTTCATCCCTTGAAACTTTCCTCTTTCCGCCACCACATTATTCTTCGGCACCAGATACCGTGTTAGCTTCCTTTTCAGGCGAGCAAACTCGTCTTCTCCCTGTCTCTCGGCGTCCTCCTCAGGCAGTGAATCGCTGACATCGGCGAGGTCCGGGCCCACCAGGTGCAACAGGACTGCACACCGTCTCGCAGGCCCTTGAATGTCAACAGCGATCATATACCGCTCCAATGCCCGGAGCCACTTTTCAAAGTCCGTGCCTGGACGGTACGGCACCGCAGACACTATCTGCATCCCCGTTGGATCCATCGTGCCGCCGCCCTCTCACCAGCACGTCGTTTCTCCGGTCGGCTCGCCGCCGCTCCACCGTCGGCCCGCAGCCGCTCCACCGTCGGCCCGCGGCCGCTCCACCGTCGGCCCGCAGCCGCTCCACCGGCGGCCCGCAGCCGCTCCACCGGTCGGCCCGCAGCCGGGCGTCACCGCTCACACCGGCCGGTCACCGCTCACACCGGCCGGTCACCGCACACGCCGGTCGGTCACCGCACACGCCGGTCGGCCACCGCTCACGCCGACCGGTCACCGCTCACCGCGCCGCCCTGCGCCTGTACTTGGCGCTGCAGCTGCGGTTTCCCGCGCTTTTCTCGACGGGGGCGTCACGTGGTAGTGACGTCACACGCACGTCACCGCGCGCGCATGCGCACTCGCCCCACACCGCCCGGCCGCGCGCCAGCTTCCCGCCGAAATTGCCCGCTTCGGGGACCGGGCGCCTCAAACCGCATTGAGGCCCTCTCCGCCGCACCGATCGGCCAATCACACGCGCTACCACAGCTGCGCGTCACCCCCGGCCGACCAATCAGCGTGCAGGACGCCGACGCATGCGCCACGCACACCACACTGCCGAGGCATCATGGCCGCCACGAATTTCGGCGATCACATGGGAAACCCTGCCAGGACAACGGCCGCCGCGCGACAGGCACACTACCAGCAGCAGCGCGAAAATAAAAATACTAAGCAATACTAAGCACTAAGCATTCGTACTAAGCAACGTTTGCGCCCTCACCGTCCGTGGCCTGTCCGCCCTCGCTGACCACCGCGCACTGATCACTGGCCCGTTTCGCCATCACTCGCAATCACAGCTCCAAGGCTTCACCTTGATCTGATCCTCGTCGCCAGGATGTTATAACGTGAGCTCTTTATTCACAACCAAAGCCGCATTGCGTTAAACTTCCTAGAGCGCCAAACACCGATCGCTACTACCACAACCGCGCTCCGCGCGGGCCGGCGGCCGACTGCTCTCGAACCCCGCGCAGTGCTGCCAGACGGGGAAGGCTGTAATCCTCCAGATCAGTTACAAAAATCCTCCAGATTCCTCCAAATCCTATTGGTAGAAATAGAAAGGCGGTCTTGGACGCTGCGGGGGGCTATACCCCCAAAAAAGTTTCACCAAATCCTAAAAACTCATCGGATTTCGAATCCTTTCGCACTGCTGTGCAGTTTAAAAGATACTTTTTCTAATAAAGGTTGTTTAGTTTTCGTTTTTTCCTAAAAAAAACGAAAAATTTTCGTCGATTTCGGGCGCTGCAGGGGGGCCTTTAGGGCATTTACCCCAAATGTCCCCCTTAGATCCGCCAGTAGTTTGGTACCCTCGTAGATATAGCTACAGACTGAGACATTCTGCAGTCTCACGGTGATAAAGGACTTAAGACGTGATATATCCTAACGGGTAAGGTGACGCTGGACAGGAAAATGCCTTTGAGTTTAGTCTTGAATGTGTTATATTTTTCCATGAAATTGAATATAATAATCGGGCGACAAATCCTCCAGATTTTCCTCCAGAATCAAAAATCCTCCAAAAGCGAAATTTGTCCGCAAATAGAGTTCAAAATCCTCCAGATTTGCGGAAATCCTCCAAATCTGGCAGCACTGACCCCGCGTCTGCGCGCCGGCGCCGCCAATGGCGTCGCCAGGCCCCCGGGCAGGGGGGAGCAACTGGCGTCGCCAGGCCCCGGGGCAGGGGGGGAGCAGCTCGCGACACCACAGATGGGATGGTCGCGCGCCTGCCGCCGGTGCCGATGGGCGCGCGCCGGCGCCGGTGCCGATGGGATGGGCGCGCACCGGCCGCCGGTGCCGATGGGCGCGCGCCCGCCGCCGGTGCTGATGGGATGGGCGCGCTGGCCGCCGGTGCCGATGGACGCGCGCCCGCCGACGGTGCCCGATGTGCACGCGCCCGCCGCCGGTGCCGATGGGATGGGCGCGCGCTCGCCGCCGGTGCCGATGGGATGGTCGCGCGCCGGCCGCCGGTGCCGATGGGCGCGCGCCCGCCGCCGGTGCTGATGGGATGGGCGCGCTGGCCGCCGGTGCCGATGGACGCGCGCCCGCCGACGGTGCCCGATGGGCGCGCGCTGGCCGCCGGTGCCGATGGGATGGGCGCGCGCTCGCCGCCGGTGCCGATGGGATGGTCGCGCGCCGGCCGCCGGTGCCGATGGGATGGGCGCGCACCGGCCGCCGGTGCCGATGGGCGCGCGCCCGCCGCCGGTGCCGATGGGATGGTCGCGCGCCGGCCGCCGGTGCCGATGGGCGCGCGCCGGCCGCCTATCAAGTTTACCTGTCCAGATGTACCTACAGAAAGAATGTTTAGTCTGTCAAATACATGTACAGCTGGTATACCTACCCTGTAGCTGCAACTGTTTTGACCATGTGGCCCAGCAAAGTTATCTGGCCTAGGTAATGATTGTGATTCAGGGATGAATCCCTGGGAAGAAAATATAGATGATGGTGCTTCAGGAGACTGGAGATTGTCGTGAAGAAGCATTCCTTAATTAGTGTTAGTCACCATCCAAGCCATATGACCAAAACACACCACATCAATATTATCCCAAAATTATATTTGAAAACTTTATGGTTGGTTACACACAAGTTTTTTAGGTGACCACACTCAAACACGAGACTACTAGGGTGCCAACGTCACTTGTCAGGCTCAATGCACCAGCTGCTGTTCATACAATTTGCAAGACTCAACATCAGCTATCAGGTTCTACATCACATCAAGTGTTCAATGTAACAATGTTCGTGCCACTTTTACAAGTTGTGCTAAAAACCAGTTCAATTACAAAGGAAATGCCAAACCCACCTTCCACGACTGCTATTGACGGTACGGCATGTGGTGACGTTCTAGCCCTTTCTCCAAGCAAAAGATCTTGAGGGTTGAAGTGGCAGCTACACACAAGTGCTTCGTCAACCTGCTTGTCCGCCAAGCCATCTTCTAGGACAGCCACCCAACCAAGTCTCCTAAAAACAGCATGACTTTGTGATCAAAGGTCTGGGAAAATTGCAAGGCTTGCCATTCCAGTACAAGTAACAGATAACAAGTAACCACAGATAGTACATTGAGTACTTTAGTTATATGTGTAGATGAACTCCGAGTTGTAGGTTGTAGGTTGTAAGCTGAAGCATGTAGGTTGTAGGTTCGTGGGAGGCTGTAGTTTAGTAGGTTATTAGGTAATAGGTAATATTAGGACTTAGGTCAAGTTCGCTTGTTTTTTTTCCTCGGACCACTCAGACTTCATCCACACAATTTACTCGTACGCCTTACTGTTTGATGTATGAGTAACACTTCAAACATTTGTGTGTTCAAACACTTCAAACACTTCAAACATTTGATCATTGCATTTGTGCATGCTTGACATAAAAACATATATTAATACAATTTCGTAAAATATGCAACTGTTTTTCACTTAGTGCCTGCCCCGCAATCTCCAGCATTTCAAATTGGACTTACTTGACACGGTTTTTCGGAGCATGGAAGAAGTTGAGATCGGGACAAATGACAATCAGCCTTTGTTTTTCCACAACCCTTCACAATACACCGCCGATTTCGCACTTGGCGGGATGGCGCCATTCCGTCCAACTCATACAGCCTCAGAAATTACAACAACACACTCAACTAACGGAATATCCGTCAAACAAATCTTATTTACGACGACACGAGCCAATGCTAACAACGCTTGCCAGTTGCGGAGTGGAGACGTCAGAGAGAAAAAAGTCTTTAGATTTCTCCAATTTCCCCACGTAACGTTGAACGGCCATTGCGGCCTTATCTGGTATGCGACGGCCTTATCTGGCATACAAAATATCTCTAGAAGTCTCTAGCTAGTGTTAAGCCTATGGACTTATAGGGAAATGTATCCGAGTACTTGGTACTGCCTCCTCCAGGTACTGGCTGGCAGACGGATCAACTTTGGAGGCCCACCATTTGGAAATTAGGCAATTTTGAGACGAATGACTTCGGATCGGGGCCTCAGCCACCTTCATCTACACATTTCACTGAGTAACTCCGAAATTTCGGAAAAAACCCTGATAATACCTTTAATAATCCAGCCTTTTAAGCAGCTGAAGTCACGTGGCCTTCGAGAGTGAGGATGACGTGTAGCGATGCCTTCACCTCGTGACCAAATAGCCGGGTCGGCGACCCCGGTTACCGGCCGTCCACGGCACACGCCGGGACGAGTCGTGATCGTCACTTGACCCGTCTCTGACCCCGTGTCACGCCGGGACCTCGGGCCGAAAATATGGCCAGCTCCCTACCGTGACATCGCTGGGTTCCAGGGCACGTCGCCCCTGACAGTCGCCATCCCTCGCCTTCAGCTCGCCATATAAGCAGTGCTCACTCCCCCTCCCTCTCTCTCTCTCTCTCTCTCTCTCTCTCTCTCTCTCTCTCTCTCTCTCTCTCTCTCTCTCTCTCCCTTTCTGCCCGCTGACCTGACCTGACCCCGCTCTCCCCCGCAGCTCGTCGCTGGACGTGGTGGAGCTGGTGCGCGCCTGCCGCGCGGAGGAGCTCGGCGCCGAGAAGCTGCGCGGACTGCTGCGAATCCTGCCCACCCCCGACGAGGTGGACATGCTGAACAGCTACGACGGCGACCCGGCGCGCCTCGGCAAAGCCGAGAGACTCATGGTCCGCCTCATCCGGGTGCCCAGGTACGTTTCCCGTTCACATGTTGAATATCCATAGAAGGGCTATCATCACCATTATCACGTTTTTAATACGAGATTAAAACCCTCCCAGCAGCTATCTACACGCGGCACGTGGTTTGCGGGAAGTCCTTAATGACCAATCTTTGTTTTATGATCTCCGTTAGCTTTATGTTTGTGGCTTGATTGTGATTTTATAAGGAAAAAATAAACAATTGATTGATTAATGTCGGGGATTATGCTAGCCACCAAATCTCCCGGGCTATGGCCAGTTGGTAGATGTTCGTAGGATACCACTAAAACACGGAGTACGTCCTATGAGCCATCCAAGCTGCCGGGCTGGGAGCGACCACGAACTCAGAGCTCACGAGTCGCGAGCCGTTACCTCGAGGTGTCGCTTGGCTCGTGCAGATGCTATTTTTGACACCGGGTTGACAGATTTTATGACGGCAATCGGTTTATTGTTGCCAAGTTGTTCGGTAGCGATAGGCGAAACACTGCAGGTGGGATTCGGCTCGGTGCAATCGCGCGACTCCCGCGTGGCACGCTCTTAGCAGTAATCTGGCAATATATCATGATGTGAGCACGGGAGCGACTCGTGATAGAAAGTGTTGCTCTCCGCATACAACTCAAATGTAGTGATGGTCGAGATACAGCCTAAATGACGAACCATTGAACTTTCTTTGCAAACGCACAAAAGCAAATCCATGGTTTTGAGGTTATCTTTTGTGCAAATACACATGGACTTGTTAACACGGGAAAAGAGTAAAGGCCTGGCTACACTATGCGTTTTCTGCGTGCGTTTTTTGCGTGTTTGCGGGTTTTGCGTAATATCGTTCTAGAAAAAAAGTTATTATTAATTAAACTTCTTTAATATTTATATAAAAGTTAATAAAACGTTTATGTTAAATAAAAGTTTATATGACAAACATATAACAAAAACGTAATGTCATTTCTTTCTAGAACGATATTCCGCAAATCACGCAAACTCGCAAAAAACGCACGCAGAAAACGCATAGTGTAGCCAGGCCTTAAGACAAGACACGACGATTACCTCATCAAAAGGCACAATAAAAGCCTCTGGCTCTATAGCCTGGTGAGGACCGTTCGTCGGCGGTCGACCTGACCTCACCGCCCCCTGCCCTCAGCTTCCGACTGCGGGTCGAGAGCATGCTGCTGCGCGAAGAGTTCGACTCCAACTACGACAGCCTCAAGACGTCCATCGTCGCCATGATGTATGCTACTGATGGTACGTTACGTCTTCATCCTCAATACCCACTGCTTAGTCCTGAAACCTTGAGTTTTCGTTCTTTCACCCGAACCTTTCACTTAAAGTGGCCATCCACAAGGATCTTTTTCGCCGTACCGACGAATCGATCTCATATTTCATTGTCCGAGCATCTCATAGGACTCACGCACTTCTGACAGCGCGTGAGTGGCGCATTGCCAATCACGGATGAACCATTGTCTGTCGATGTTCGTGGCCTGTGAGTAATTACGTGCATGGGTGTCAGAGGGCTTTAGCTGTCACTCATGGTGCATGGGATCAAGGCTACAATAAGACCAAGATGGATGAGTCAGAAGTCATGGATAGAGGCTCACGATGAAGGAATCAATGACTGGAGGTGGATTATATGGGTTCCCGGAAGCTGGATCAGGAATCTCGGTCCGACGCTGATCCGGGACCCTTGCTCTTCGACTTGATCCGTCCGTCCGTCCGCGCTGAGGGCCCGGCGGCGGCTCGCTGGCTATTAGACCGGTGGCACGCGATACGGCCTCAGTCCCTGCTAATCAACCGGCGGGCAGGGGCGCCCCGCTGCGGAGGGCGCCGGCGGCAGAGGCACCCCGCCGCGCCGGGCGCCGTCTCTGTCGGCCGCTCACGGAGCGGACTGAGGGCGGCCGCGGGCGCCGGCCGAGCGGCTGAGCAGCACGAGGGCGGCCGGTCTGGGTCTCAGGATTGGAACGGTGATATGGTAATCCCGGGAGAGGGAGCGAGAACAGAGAACAGGGCAATGTCCGGAGCGATTAGTGCCATAACTCAGACGGCGCGGCGGTGGGGTGCCGCGAAGGTACGGGTGTCCGTGTCGGCACTGATATGAAGATGTTCGTAGGTGTTGAGTTACTGCAGAGAAACGCACTCGCTGACGGGGCTCTATTCGTTTCAGCGCTGATGAACAACGAGAATCTGCACAAAGTGCTGTACCTGACGGTGAACATCGGAAACTTCCTCAATTCGGTAAGGGTCAAATCAGTCACAAATTGAAATAAGTTATATTATACTGCTTACAAGTTAAAACTACAAGATACGAAGCCTCACGACAACTGCCGTATTAACGTAATGTTTGACATCGTTTGCAAATGTTAGTAACAGACAAAACAAGCCAGTTGTTGGTTAGTACACACAACTGCATGTTTTGTTACAAAACTATGCATGCTCGTGTAGTCTGTAAAATGTAAAGCCACATCGAAAACATCTGTAGCATTCACCGAAAATCTGTCTGACATTACATTTCATGAAGATTATCTACAAATGCACGTTACCGTTTTCCTTGTCACGTAGATGCTGTTTATGTAGCAACCACGTGCCAGTGACTGTTATCGCAATTCCATTTATCAAAAGCCATCAAAACCCTTTTTAGTCCCTATGCCCGTAATCACAAGCTGTCAGTACAGTTGTCAGACAACAATCTCCCGACTGTTAACCACTCGCGTCGCTAGAACCACCACTGACGCCATCTCCTTCCACAGGGTGGCTACGCCGGGAACGCGGCCGGCATCAAGCTCTCGTCGCTGCAGACTCTGGTGAACGTGCGCGCCAACAAGCCGGGCATGACGCTGATGCACTCGATCGCCGAGCAGGCCGCCTGCCGTCACCCGGAGACGCTCGACTTCCCGGCCGAGCTGGAGGTGCTCGAGATCGCCGCCAAGACCACCATCGAGCAGATCAAACAGGACGCCGCACAGCTGCAGGCCAGCGTCACAAAGGTAAAGATCATACAGGTACATCCGAGCTGCAGGCCAGCGTCACAAAGGTAAAGATCATAAAGGCACATCCCCGCTGCAGGCCAGCGTCACAAAGGCAAAGCTCACAGAGCTACAGACAGCTTACTGCAGACCAGCGTCACTAAAGGTATAGCTTATGAAGGTACAACTCAGCTGCATGGGGACGCCGCCACAAAAGTACCTCAATTTTAAACATTGCTATCATTGCCCAGATTTGTGGAACTGTTCGGACTGTTGTAGGGATATGGTGTATCTTATCAAAGATAGCGTTTATTTATGTCCGTTTTTGAGTTCGCAATATGCGACAAACAATACCGCGGAATCTAATCTCAGGACCTTATTGCCGCAACTTTGATTTATTTATAGATATTTAGGCATATTCGGGATAAGGATTTCCAGTGTTACCGATATAACTGAAGGTATCCAACTCTGTCAGGTCCTTAGCTGGACATCCCTCTTCTGACACTGCTGCTGACACTGTAATCTAAACCCCGTCCGCCAGGTCCGTAACCAGACGTCGAGTTCGACGGAGGCCGAGCTGCGCCAGCAGACGGAGTCGTTCCTGGACGAGGCGTCGGACCAGCTGGAGGAGATGACGGCGCTGCTGGCCAGGCTGGAGGAGAACCGCTGCGACCTGGCCGACTTCTTCTGCGAGGACGCCGCCACCTTCAAACTGGAGTCGGCACTCGAGGTAGGCAGCGCGAGACAGAGCAACTGCTGGCGTGACTAGTCTTGGAGCTGTGGCTTGTTGGGGGTGATCTGTCGTGGTAAACGCGAACAGCAAGTCAGTCGAGAGCTGCTGGGTCAAAGTCTGATGAGATGACGGTCTTCCAGTGTCCCTCTGGCCGGCGGTACTTCAAAATAAGCACGTGACCCAACACCCACACCTCCCTCCGTCAGATTCTGTGGAGCTTCGCCAGCATGTTCAAGAAGGCGGTGGCGGAGAACGAGAAGAGGCGTCACCAGGAGCAGGAGGCCAGCGCGCGCAAACGGGCGCGCGAGGAGCAGCAGGCCAAGAGGAAGTCAGGAGGTACGTCGGCGCCCTCCACAGCCGCTCCTCTCCGAACGATAGGTCACAAGAGGTCGACTATCTGCAACGCAAACAATGTCATACTGATAAGACGAGAGAAAAACCTACATGGCATCTTACTGACTACTGAAGCTGCGGATTAGTTCGGCAAATAGATTGGCGATATCAGCAATAAGGCTTAAGGATCTCCGCGAATAAACTTACGCATTTAACCATTGACGTCGGATGTTGAATGGTAGTGATATCGATATTCGATAGCCTAATCCAAGGAAGATAATCGCGGTTTCCTTGTTGCTCAGTGGACTATCATCAACGACCTTCAGTAATTCTGACACTCGAATTAGGTCCGTTAGCGAGGTATGACTTAAATCGGCCATTGAACTCCACTTGCCCGTTATTGATGATGAAGAAAGTAAGCAGAGTCATGTCACTGTGATATTCCTCCATATGTGAGAGCTGTAATGACGATCCCCCGTTTCCTCTGGCAGTGGTGGGACAGAGGCCCGTCTCCCTGTCCGGTTCAGAGCCGGACAACACTGCAGACGGACTGCTGGCCAACCTGAAGGACGGCGACCGCAGGCTGGAACAGGTAACACGGAAATACTGACCGACAGACCTCCGGTCACTGTCCAGTGACCGCTCAGATCGGCTGAATGCTGTGAGGAATTGTGCGTCATAAGGGAGGCAGTGTGTTGCAATGCATTTTTATCCGTCGCCTTCGCGCTCGCAAAAAACCAATGATTGTGTGCATCGGGACTGTATTGAGGTTTTTGGTGAGGTGAAAACAGACCGGCATACATATATACAGTCCAAAGCAATATAGATATGCCTATACACATATATGTATAAGGCAGGCGCAGGGGTGGTGGTGGGCGTGCGGTGCACACCCGCATACACGCTGACAAAGACTGAGACATCTGCTCATCCCCTGCTCCGTGACCGCGCGGGATTCGCCAAGTTGGCGAGCGCTTAAGTTAGCGCTCTCCGTTCGGGCCCGTTTTTGCGGTCGCTTATGACGACCGATAAATGCGTTTATGAGCCGCTGTACATAAACTGTCATTTATCCGTCGCCTTCGCGCTCGCAAAAAACCAATGATTGTGTGCATCGGGACTGTATTGAGGTTTTTGGTGAGGTGAAAACAGACCCACCAGAAACCCCACCGAACCGCAAGGCGACGACACGCGCGACGGACGAACACTGCATCTCAGCCCCGCTGCCCGAGGCGGGTAGGCCCAGCTTTGAGGCGAGGAACGACAAACGCATGGAGCGAGCGCCAGAAAGGGGGATAGTCATAATTGTTTCACAACACGTTAGAACAAACGCAGCGCAACATGGACGACGCTCGGTCGCGGTTCTTGGTTAAACATATTATAAACAACGTGCTCGAAACGGCGCCCAGCCGCGGTTTGCGCTCATTCACGCAGCCGTGCTATAGTCGCGAGACATATTACCCATATGCTGGCGATCACATCGTGGCTGTACACAGAGCATTGTCACTTTGTCCGATGTCGCACTGTACCGCGCCGACACCAGCCCGCGGCCGAGGAACCTCGCCGTGTCGAGCTGGCGCCACGCATAAGCGTCCGCTGCCCAATTTGGGGAGCCAAATTTGTCACTTACTCCTCATACTGGCGCGCTGACCCCTGTTTTCAACTCTCCCCCGCTCTTCATTTATTTTTCTCAACTCCTCCGCTTCTCCCTCAGCCGCTGACGCCGCAGCCGCAGAGGAAGCGGCGCACAATGCTGGACATGGGCTCTCTGACTTCCGAGGACGAGCCGTCGGTGGCCAACAGCCCGCGGATCAACCGCAAGAACCGCCTGGGCAGCTTCAGCGGCACGGCCGGCACGCCGGGGGAGGGCCCGAACGGGGTGCTCATCACCGACTCACCCGGTGAGAACCCGGCCGACCGGCGCTACACGGTCACAGATTGTCATATCGGCCAAACGCCGGGCCGATAGCCCAGCTGGTTAAGGGTCAGACAAGGGTCAATGGCACACGGCGCATAAAATGAATCACTCATTGTATCAAGTGTGCGTCTCATATCAACTAAATCTCTGGAGGGTCTCGGGAGCAGCATCTTCTGCGTCGTTCTCCAGGTGATGCTTTGTTTTCAAGTGTCAACAATGGACATCTTGCAAGATTCTAACGATATCTTATCAAGTTAACGATTCCTATTGCGTTTTTGTTTTTAGGTCACTTTTGAAGCACCCGTGGTCCCATTGAAGCACCTCTCACGGCTCGACCTTCCCTCTCATCCGAACTATCAACTGAATAACCGAGAGGTCTTCCTCACACCTCTCTCCACCTTTCTCAGGTACCGTGCGGCGCCGGCGGAGTCGCGTACCCAGCGAAGAGGATGACACCCTCCTGGACTACCTGCGCTCGGCCAGTAACGATAACCCGCGCGAGCGACGCTCCTGGGGCGGACTGGGTACGTTCGTCTTTCACAGGATCAACCGGCCGGTGCAACAGCGCAACGGCGGTACAATGCAGTACAGTGTTGGTACAGCTTGATACAGCTTGAGCGATACAGCCTGATCAATAGCAACATTTGCATTTGTATTTATTTAAAACATCACCAAACTAGCAATTGCTAACTTGCATAAGTGAGGTCAGGACGGAAACCAATAAGTGAGATTATGGTTTCCCGATAAGTGTTGGAGTTAACCACTCATGATGGCATGGGTGGAGAACCTGCCCCGGCCACCCCGGCCGTGGCCGGGGTAACTTTCAGCCTACCCCGGCGCGGCCGGGGTAACTTTTCTACTCTTGTAAATCCTAAAAGCTGTCTCCATACGAGAAAAGAAAACTCACGCTCTTCGAATGTTGACTTCCATGGGCGTAATATTGCAAATCAGGTAGGTATTTACCATTTACTTAACTTGCCATAATCTCCAACCCTAAGACCCGCGTGTGGTCGCCAATGCCAAGATTGCTCTCACATCCTGTTCAGTTTCGAAATTTTGGCGCGCCTTCGGCGCACTTTTTCAAAACTACTGCTTGACCTCATTGCCTTCAACTGACCTGCCACCAACCGCAACCACATCCGTTTATGAGCGTACCCGTCAGGGTGCTCATAAACACCGAGCGGCCATCATGCTTCGAACTCGGACTGTTGTAACCGGGCCGCGTGCTCTCGCCACGCGGAATCCAACGCTCTAGCAACTGAGCTACGAGACCGGGACCGGTCGATATTCCTGGATCGACTCCTTGTTTGTATTATAAGAGCCGCCCAACATTGAAAAAGGCTACGCCCGTGGATGTCAGTGACCTATTTTAGTGCTTTGCTTGGTTCGATCTGTCAATTTCTCTGTAAAGCTTCTACTATGGTGAGTTGTCTTTTTGTAGCTATTTTGAGACACAATAAAAAGCTGAAAACGCAACATTTAGGTACTCAAAATGGCATATGGTTTGGTTTGGGTTCGGTGTGAAATTGGAAGTTTAACCCTCGCATGTGTGCGGCGTTTGCCAGCTTCTAATGTGTAGGGGGGGGGGTCGGTTGGACCCCCCCCCCTTGCCGTTTGGCCCCTGATCGAGCTAGAGCTTCGCAGAAAAAACGAGCGTGTTGCCCGTGACGAGAGGAAGCCGATGATACCCCATTTTAAGGTCCTAGGTCATTGGTTGACCTTCCAAGTCAGGTCAATGACCCAAAGTCGGGAAAATCGGGACCTGTTAGAAAGTCGTAAAGTGTGGCTGCTAAGGGGTTTTTTCAGGGTGCTGATCACGAATATCGTGTTAGTTTTGATCACAGATGATGTCTTGAAGCATTTAGACCAGGTCGGGTCAGGTCAGGTCAGGTCAACCAGTAAGCGTCGTGACGGGTATTCGTAGTACGTGTCAACCGCCTCTGACAGCTTCGTAACATGTTACGAAGTCACCAAAACTACTTCGTAAATGTTCAAATGGTTGCTAAATTCGAATTCAGCTCCAAAAACTAGCCTAGAAACATGTAAAACTCGAAAAAGTGACCCGAGGTCACCCGAGGTCACCAAAGGTCAATGACCTGACCTGACCTTCAGGTGACCTTGACACACACGGGAGTAACATCAAATCACATGTTTGAACGTTTGAAACCACGAAAACCTTGCAAACACGCGGCTAGTGCGAGCCGACATACGCGAAATCGCGATTCCGGCCAAACATGGTCTCGGAAAAGAGGTCACAGGTCAAAGGTCATTTGGGTCAGGGTCATGAATTTTTCAGGGTAGGTGTAAAATTGATCAATGCGAGGGTACTGAAAGTTTCGTCGCGATCGGCCGCTTTTTACGCGAGTTATTCGCGAAAAACCATGGGGGGGGGGTCCATCCGACCCCCCCTACACATGCGAGGGTTAAGTAAAAAGAAATAATAATTTAAAAGGAAATTGCCTTTTCGATCATTCCAAAAATGTTATGAATAATACGGTGTCGGATACAACGCTCATCCTTGAGCAAACACAGCATCCTATTCTATGCGTCAGAATAGGGGTTTGATGATGACCGTTGAGAACAACGTGAGTATATCGTATTCCCGCGACTATCGGTCGCCGGCCGGGGTAACTTTTTCAAACATTCTCCACCCATGCATGATGGAGTGGTGGTACCCTTGAAGTGGCTGGCCGACCTTGTGCTGTTGAGACATAAGTCATATTCTGGTGTATCGCTTGCGGCATAAGGATCACCCGTATCTATCCCTCATCGTCGGGCGATAGCAACTCAACTCCGCCGTGGGTTTCCACCTATACCGATACTCCTTCAGCGCCAGCTAGTGGCGTCCCCTGGATGCGTTTTGTATCCCCTATCTTCTACTCCGTAATTCCAATCTAACGCCAATATCTGACGCCCCTGGCTTCTCTCGAACAGAAGAGCTCCATCTAACGTCTTCCGCTTCTCCCTGACAGACTCGTACGGCTCCCTGGACCGCTCGATGGCCCGGAGGATGCGGGGAGGCGCCGTCCGCCGGCGGCCCGACCTGCTGTCGGTCGACTTCCTCGGAGACAGAGAGCGTCCGGCGTCTCCGTCTCTGCCCACACCCACCCAGGAGGAGGCCGAAAAACCGGCAGAGGGGCGGCCAAGGTAATAACGCGCGAGCCGTAATGGGTTACACCGATCGTACTTGACACCGGAATAACTGAAGCAGCAGCGAAACTTTAAAAGGAATGATTGAGAGTAAACCGTAGGAGAGTAACAGTCTGCCATCACGAAAGGCATTTCAGACCTCCACTTGTGTTTGAATAAAGAGCATGAGTTCGTCTTCCTTGAACAGCCAGCGTACCTTTGTCTTTGAGTCATCGATCGCTCCCTCTCTTCTGACCTCACTCCTCGCCGTGCCTCAGCCACGACTGGAAGAAGAAGATCGACCACTGGTTCGAGGAGAACGACAAGGACCGTGAACAGGCCGAGGACCTCAGCAGTCGACGGCGGCGGCTCCACCGGCGCGTCGTCGACGTCGGCGGCGACGGCTCCAAAGCAGGTGCGTGCCGCGCCGGGTGCGCTCGTGACGTCTCCTGGGTTCGTGTTGTGACGTCATCTGTGTTTCCGGGAGGCTGATGCGTCGACAGGAGAACGGGAATACTTCGTCGGCTATTCAAAGCCGGGTGCACTGACCGGAGTTGCGAAATATGAAAATATAACAATTTTGTTGAAGAAAATTCGCTCATTTTATGATATTGTAAATGTGAACAAAGAAAGCTGAATAAAACAGGCGGTCGTTGTGCATGAAACGCATGTTGTAATATGATATTGGTTTTGGCAACAAAACGGTAAAAAGTCAGTGCCTGCCTCGGTGACTGGCGTTATGTTTTGCAACTCGGGTCAACTGCACAGTGCACATGTCCATTTTTAGTTGCAAATGGATATTGAGTACCAGGGGTTGCTTTCTGTCATTTTGTCACCGCAGAACAATAAGCTTGGTCGGTTGTGTTTGTCCCATTCGGTGTCCGATCCGGGCGCCGCCTGCCGTACTGATGTGTTCCTGTCCCGCTGCTAGACGGCGGGAAGTTACCCGTTACAGGGCTGGGCACCGTCCCAGAGGGAAAGTCGCTCGAGAGCGGCTCCAGCTCGTCCTACAAACGCGTCTACAAAGACTGGAAACCGTCCGTCGAACAGAAGGATATCCTTGGCGCTATGGAAGCTATAGAAGGTGGCGTATTTAATGAATCCCCCCCGCTATCCTTCTATTGATTTCTTACTCGTTAACTTAACTCTAATTTGTAAATGCCAAACAACTTCTGAACTTACCGAAAAGGTCTGAGTATCTTTGCCAACTTCGCCCAGTAGCTACTTAATTGTTAAATCTGTATGTTTCATTCAGTGGAACTGAGCGTTGACGCTTCACCTATTGGTTACTATCGCTAGTCTGTCACTTAGTGACCTTACATCGTCAAATAATCAAAATAATTGTTTCCTACAATTAGTTCAATAATATCCATAGATGCTGGAATTCGTTTACACTCTCTCACCAATCTCTTTCACCCGATCTGCTTTGTTGGTTCGCTGACGATATGTGGTGGCTTTCGGTGTGCTTTGCCTGGTGTGTGTGCGCCCGCTTGGGGCCGGTGTAAGCCGGACAGCCGGCAGCTTCAGCTCACCGTGTCACCGGCCGCTCCACAGAGACCCACGACCAGCCTAGGGACAAGTCGGCCTGGAGGAAATCCAACCTGAACGTGCCCAACAGTGCCGAGGGCACCGGCCGCGGCCAGGAGGGCGCCGCCCAGGTAATGAGGGAGGAGGACCCCTCTCTGCTGGCCGTCACAGAACCTCAGGGCCCCAGGTGGAGGTGACGGCCGGAAGGAGAGACGGACCGCAAACGTTTACCCTTTCCCTCGGGTTCCCGTGTAAGCTGCTTACCGAAATCAATGATCGCCTGGTCATAATCGTGCGTTCTGAGATTATGTGGACACAGGATATCTTACCCAAAGATACGCTGCACACCCAAATAGGCAGCTTATGCTCATATTCCTAGAAATGCCGTCAACTTTGCGTCTGTGAGTGTTGTCTACCTTCTGTTTGCAATAACGTTCCACAAATCGATCCCGTGTATCCGTATTAGTCATGATAATGCCTCTCGGTATTTGCTAGATGATTCAGCACTCCGGTTCAGTTTACCATCTTGTGTTCCGTTTCTCGCAGGGGACGGAGGGCCATGACGCTCGTCGAGATCTGATCAAGGGGCTCGGAAGGAAAATCAGCGATGAGAGCATTCCACTGTACGTCAGGAAAACCTCGAACGCTTCTCAGGACAACTTGGACAGCAGGAAGAACAGCCTCGGTAAGCTATCGGGACGAACATCTATCCGGTCCCCATCGGTATTCCGAATAAGATGGACGATAAAAATGATATTGGGGCGGTATAATGGGCATTACCTCGCCACGATAATACAAAGATAATACCTTGTTACGCAAATTCCCACATTACCTCTCCCTCTCATGAAACGTTTAGCTGCTGAGTCGATAATAAAAGCCTAAGAAAAGAAGGATAACAGTATGCTTATCATTGTTGATAGGTATCTTGGTGAGGTGAAATGAGGGAAATAACCACATGTGTAAACAAAAGCTTTAGGCCAACACGTTCTATTTGCATTTAATGAGCGAAAAAGCACAAAATTCCAAAGAAGCGAAACATAATGTGCTCCTCACCATACGTTGGACTGGCGTGGCACAGTATCTCTGCACAGTCCACTGACCGCATCTTTCTCCGGCAGTGAACGAGACACCAGAGGGTGTGATCCTGAAGGTGCCGGAGGTGGCGCGCACCCCGGCCGCCGCCCCGGCGGTCCCGGCGCCGGTGGCCACCTCCGACCAGCGGCCGCGCCGCGCCGACCGTCAGGAGAGTCAGGACAGCACCTCGGAGCGGCTGCTGCCGCCCTCCATCCCGCGCCGCTTCCGACAGCTCTCCAACGACGAGGTGCCCAACAAGATCGACATCGACGCCGAGAACATCGAGACACCACCGGTGACGCGGCGCGCGCTGGGCACGCGCAGTTTCCGCGCGCCACCCAACCAGACGTGGCTGGCGGCGCCGCGCCGGTCAGAGGACGAGGCCCCCGAGGACTTCAGCGCGCGCCGCCAGCAGCGCCGCTTCCACAGCCTGCGACTGGACCCGGCGGCCGCCGAGGAGCGCCGCAGGGGGCTCATCAAGTCCACCGGGAACGCCGACAGCTCGGAGAACGAGGACGACGAGCGGGCGCGCCTCTCGCAGCGGTACGCGCGGCTCGTCGAGCTCGCCAAGGACGCCGAGAGCGAGGGCGAGCCGGCGCGCACCAAACCCGAGGACGAGCCCAGGAACGAGGAGGAGCCGGCCGAGAAGTTCGACCGACACGCGTCCGTCCGCAAATCGACGCGCAGGAAGCGAGACGAGGCCGAGCCGGCCAAACCGTCGTCTCCCCCGCCGGCTGAGGAGTCTGCCGGAGACCGGCGGCGGCCCAAGTCGCCGGCACCAGAGCGGCAGACGCTGAAACCGGAGCCGGAAGAACACCGTGGCTCCAACAGCGACATCGAGCGTGCCATCACCAGCATATCCGAGACAGCCGACAAGCTGAAAAAGGTGGACGCGCCTCCACCCGAGAAGAGAGACGCCCGCGATCGCCGCTCGCGCGCCAGGAGCCTCATCGACGGAGGTCAGGTGGCCGAGGCGAAACGGCGGGCGGACAAGGGTCCGTCCATCCACGACAGGCTGTTCGGCAGGGCCAAGAAGGACAAGGAGCCGGCGGCGCCCGTCAAGAGGATGTCCAGCCTCCGGCGCCGCCGCGAGGACACCGACGAGGGATTCGCCGAGGAGACGAGCGGTGCCAGCGCCAACAACGAGGAGTCATCGGGCCGGCGCAGGACGCGGCCCTCGTCACTGTCGCTCGCGGGGCTAAAGAAGCCGGCCTCCTCCAGCACCGCGCGCTCGCCGAGTGTGCGCGAGCGGAGCACACCCACTCCGGGCGTGTCTGGCTCGTCAACTCTGGGACGGGCTCGCTCCCGAGACCCTCCGTCGGCCACCGAGCCGACCAGAGGAGGTCTGGGACGCAGCCAGAGTATGCGGGTATCGGGCCCGGCGCGGCCGCGGCCCGTGCTGAACTCTGCCACGAGCGCGCTCAAGGCGCTCACAAAGAACCTCCGCGGCCGTGGCCGGGACGCCGAGCCGGCGCCGCGGCCGGCCGGCAGTCTGCACAACTCGAGCGGCTCACTGTGCTCGACGCCGTCCGTCAGCAAGCGCTCCAGCGAGTCCAGTCTGAAGGCGTCTCCCAAGCCGGGTCGGCGGGCCGCGCCGCGCGCCGTGCCGCCTAGTCCGGCGCCCGCCCGCAAAGCGGCGCCCCAGTCGAGCGCCACTGCTCGCCGCGCCGTCGCCGCCAACGGCAGCGTGGCAGGCGCGCGCCGCAGCCCCGCCGCTCGCGTGTCGTCGCCGGCGACACCGCCGCCGCGCGGCTCATCGTCGACGCTACCCCGCGCCGGTCGACAGGCCGTGTCACGCGTCTCCTCGCACGAGGACGCACCCGCGGCGACCACTAAGCCGGCACGGCGCGTGGGCACGCCGAGCTTCATGCGTCCGACGTCCTCGAGCACGGCACGAGTCGACCCGGCCGAAAAGAAGAAATCCGTCTCCCGGTCGATAACGCTGAGCAAGCCGCGCTCGACGCTGCGCTGAGCGCGCCCCGCACTCTAGTCGCCCCCGTGAGATGTGATATGGCTAACAGCGGGCCGGACAGATTACTCCAGTGATATTATTGTGAGTTTTGCACTTTTATAACGCGCGTCGCAGCCGGCTCGTAGTTTGATTCTAGTGTACTAACGTGTCTTCTCGCCGGTTCTGTAGCTAACTGTGTAGCGCCGAGGATAAGTGTGCAGGAAGTCGCGATCTGAGAAGTGCGCCGTCGCGCGGAGACGGCCGCGGCCATCGGGTGAGGACGTGGCGGCGACAGAGAGGTCGCCAGTTCTAACCGTCGTGCTCGCTGCCAATGTAGACACGTCGCCCGTTTTGTGTACGATGAAAATAAACCAGCATCTTAGGCATCCTTTTAGAAACACGTGTGGATGTAGCAAGGAAAGACGCGTGATGATGTTGTAAAGACTGCAACAGTCGGCGACATCCTGAGGTTCTGTCGGAGATTCCGTATCGTATTTTTTTGTTTTCATTTGACGATAAGTCCATATTGCGAGATTTAAACCACCCAATAGATCGCCAGTTTCGATACTTTTAGGAGCGACTATTCACGTCTGCGAAGAAATTAGAGGATGGTTGGCTTTCCAAACACTTACAAACGTCCTCAAGTAGGCCGTGGTTACTACACACTGAAAAGCGAAAAACCTTCACCGGGGAAGACTGACCGCTGTCAATGCTCTGACGACTGACAAAGTTTAGAAGAATGCCTTACAATTACAAACGCGCCACCATAACGCTGAGGGAGAGTAACCGGTTAGAGGGATTAGAAAATGCTCGCAGCTACTTCAGATGTCCTTCCTTTCCTCACATAGCCAGACTGCACAGGAGCCGTGTTTGACATCGAACTAATCTTCTAAAACTGCCGATAGTAATGTTTTACGTTCAATGAAAAGATTCCCCCATTTATCAGTTTTCACCGTTTCTTTTCCTGCTCTGGAGCAGCAGCTTTCGAGTTCCACATCGAGCTCGGGTCAGACAAGATGAGGCGAGGGTGTTTCAATTAAGGTAATTTTCTCACCATTGTGGTAATTGGCGAGAGCGACCTCAGGTCAGAGCTCTCCGCAAAATAGCGCGGGGAGAACAGATGCCAGGCACAACCAATTCAGAACAGAAGGTCGGAAAGGGCGAAAACCAAACAGAAAGGCCGGGACTTGATAAGACACCAGAAGGTCATAGGACTAGACCAAGAAAAGAGTGATTCGGGGATCGATGGAAGTTACAACACTATGACCGAGGTATAGTGAGTTAGGTAGAGCAAGAGTGCACCAGATGCGACCATGCAAGTTTCCACCAAGTCCTAATATCTCCCAAATCTCACAAGGCCACTGCTGTCACCATCCCCGCGGCCCAGCCGAGCAGGTCGGGTCGAGTGACCTCCCGCTCCGTCTGCCGTCGCGGCGCGGCAGGACGGCGCTGTCCACGTTGCACCAGCGGCGCGGGACGGTGCCGCTCCGTCTGCGCCGCCAGCGGTCTCCGGCTGACGGGCCGGCGCCGCGGGGGTCACCCCTCAGTCGAGAGCGCAGCCTGTTAGTTCACGGGGCGCAGTGACATGCACTACCGGACGACAGGCGGACAGAGCGCGGATAAAGGCCCGGGCTGCGGCCCGCTGCAGCCGGTCGGGGACGCGCTGACGCCACTTCTACAGTCCGTACTGACGCCGGAAGAGAGAGCCATGATGGGAGAAATAAAGGTCCAGTGCCGGCTAACCTATAGCTTGACATTAAAATGAAAGAAAGTTCACACATTCTTCTCGATATAATTCAGCTACATAAATAAGACACGAGGTGCAGTGTAACACCCCCCCCCCCCCCGATAAAAAATGCAGCATCTTATTGCTGAGTCAAAATAAAAGATCTTTCGCTGCCCAAGACGGAACTCTTCGGGAAGATCAAAATCGATGGTCAGGCGGGTTCATTTCAATGCATTGAGATTAGCGCATACCTAAATTGCTCTAATGGGGTTGGGAACTCGATTTTTTAAGAATGCATGAAAATGATCAAACTATTTTCACAGAATTTATGGTGCATACCATTGCCTCATAAAATCAATAAGCTGAGAGAAATGGGGGAAGAAAGATAGGAAACTTGTTTTGAAAAGTTCTTGAAAAAAGATGCTCTTGATGCTGTTACGTCACATGTCACCTTCTGCGGTTGACAAATAATGGCGCATCTGGCGCACCACAGATTACATGTTATATCAATGGGTGAAAGATGTTGTTTGCTTCACTCTGCCATTCGCGCTGTTTTTAACTTTAAATTAGCTAAAACATCTACGGATGAAATGTTCAGTGTCAAAAATTGATGTGTCTGCCGTGTACTATATTCCCACTTAACATGAGCGCGTGATAAACATTTTATGTACCTCGAATTTTCAAATGATAAAGATGATGAATCGGAGGATGCTGAAAAGCAAAAGCTCATTCCAATATTTGGACTACTTTACGATTAAAATGTTTACATTCCTGTCATCTTATTGATCATTTATTTGTTCTTTTTTTATGAAAATAACTTAAGGCGTTGAGAACCGAGGTAATTTCTATCTACCGTGCCTTAACTTACCAGCAACAGCAATCTATCTACGCCCTACGGTGGCAAGGGAGACTGTGAAAGAAGCGATAAGATGGATTCTAAACAATTCTTTTGTGATATACTGAAGGGCAAAGTGCAGAGAAGAGCGTACAAGTCCTGTTTTGTGCCAGGCTGTTGCAGTAGCACTTAAGAAACTCCGAAAACGATCTTCGTTCATGTCCCGAACAACATTACCCTGAGGAGATGATCGTCTGCAATAGCAGGAAGAGCTGATGCAAGTACTTTGAAATCCACTATCAAGTCGGTGCTATTGTTGTAATGATCACTGTGAGGTGAAATATTTTGTGCAAGGGCTGAGTGTAATGCCCAGGAAATGACCTCCATTCGCCCCCTGACCGGTCAGGGTTATAAAATTTGAGTGGATGGCGGTCCGTTTGGGGTTCAGATGTCAATTGTATTTTGTTACTGTCAAACAATACATGTTATGCTGGCAGCGAATGTGTGTAACGTCGTTTTTCGAAACAGAAGTTAGAACTGTAACGGCAGAGTGCTTGCTGGTCTCATCGTAAGTATTGTAAGTGTTGTAAACAAAAGCATTGTCAATATTGTAAGTATTGTGAGCATTGATGTATGGTAGATATCACCTCACATGATCTCGGCTCAGATAACACTCTCCGGTGTCCCTGTCAGTAAATGGCACCTGGATCATTACAGATAAGATAATTTGTCATAATTCTTAAAGAATTGGGTGGTTTTGAATCGTTTACTCGAGGTGCAGGTCGCATTTCAATACTTTTCCATAGGCTTGCAATGTAAAGGTCACGACTCTGACCTAACCTCAGGTCACAGATCAAAAATTCTGAGATATACAAACGACACATACTGCAGGTACTGTTTTGAAGACTTGATGAGAGGAAATAACTTCGTGAAAAACTCAAGCTCTGACGTGTTTGCAAACTTTTCTGAGGTGGGGTCGACAAACCCGCTCTGGTTACCTGACCTGACCTGACCCGGCATTTTTTTTTTGCTGAGATGTGCGCAATGAGCATTTAGGAAAAGTCACCAAATATGAGCTGAATGTCTCGCGGCGTTTGGCAATTGTACAAGAAAATCCTGAAAGGTCTCCCCGTCCGAAATAGGGTTTATGTGTATATGAAGAGTTGCAGATGCCAAACATACCCAGATCTAAGACTGCAGTTCCAAGCGCCGCTGCAACGTTTTTAAAACAAACATACATAGGACATACAAACATGTTTATTTGCATCTGTTTTGGATAATAGCAACTCATGGCGCCATCACCCGCGATAACTGTTAGGATTTGAGATATATTTTTATTTAGGCCATTAGTTTGGCTGTAATGTTTATTAATATTAGTTGGGCGGAGTTTGGTAGTTTTTTATTTAACTTGTATGTTGTGCTGATTGCGGGTTGTTCAAACCTTTCAAATGTAAGGACCTTATTGAACTCAACCCTACCCCTACACTACCCTACATACGACTGGACGCTTTCCAAGCCCACAAGCATCACGACGCCGAGATGGAATGTAGCCGAGAAATCACCCTCGCCATCTGCTCTAGAGCTAATCGTGCGGGGCGGCGTGTGGGGCGCCGCTTAGCCTATGGGGGTGCACTTCTAGTGGATGGGGGACGGGGGTGCACCTGCACCCCTTTCATATGGAAAGTTACTTCCCTGATTACAGCTCCCCGTATTGCACCTAATCAGGGCACGGCCAGCAAACGAAGGAACAATTCTGGATGACAGGCGAATAACCGCTCACGCAAGGAGCGGAGCTCCGCCCCGTCCAAAGTGGCCAACAAAGCAGAGACAGAGGCAGCATCACATCTTCCATCAAAGAACTGGTTTCTGGCTTGGAAGATGAGCTCCATCTTTGCATCCGAATCGGTGCTGTCAGGAATCAGCTGGTCTAATGGAGTGAGAGTAGTGAGACGACTAGCTATTGTATCAGAGCTGCCTGGTCTTCGTAGCATTTGCACCGATTCTTCTCGATCGGACTCTGAATTCTGTCCCTCCTGCGTATTACTTGAGGCATTGCTATGTAGCTAAGTCTTTGGCAGAGTTTCATTATCCATGCTTTGCAAACAGTGCCATAACAACACAGTTAATTAATCACCAAGCGTCTTTGCAAGTTCCAATACAGTTGAATCGCACGCGATTTGAGTGCAAAAATCAAGAAAAGTGCCAACTTGTTCCCGTAAAATATTTTGAATATTGACCTAAAAAATGAGTAATTTCCAGATAAAATAACAGCGAAATCAGTTTTCGCTTGCCAATAAAACTCACAGATATTGAAGCTCCATTATTAAAGGAACATTTTAGTATATGCCATTCTTGATAAAACTTCTTAGCCACGCAATACCAGCGCAAAATAAAGAGACACTGAAAACACGACCAATCACTCCGATTTACCATAGGAAAATACATAGAAAATGTATGTCTCAACTGCGCCAAATATACAGACAGTTATATACCTACATGTGACGTCATGATTAGCCCGACCAATCAGAAGCAAGTTGTTTTCAGCCACAAATAATTAATTTCTGAACTAACTAGGCATTTTTTTAACAAAGTGATTTTAAATTAAATCATTAAAAATTCTGAGCTTTTTTATTTTACCAAAACATACAGAGCATGCAGATAGGTCCCAACCCTATTAAAAAGGGATCTCTAAAAGAGGACGTGACCACCCTGGAGGCCGCCAGTGATCGAGTATGTTATTTTATCTCACGTGAATGAGCACGTGACGGCGTGTTTTTGTGTTCAGGATGTGTCAGAGGCCCTCACCTTCGCGGGCTCCAGCGCCC